GAGAAAGTGACTATGTAAACTGAGACAAGGATAGAGACAGAGCCCAATGCATGATCGTGGGTAACTGCCAGTGTGACAAAGTGGAACTTCCAAATGAGAAGATGTACAGGAGGAGGAGATAAAGATAAGGGCTGGAAAACCAGTCAAGAATGAGATTTCAAGGAGGCTGAGGATGGATATGTCATGTTATTTTGTGATTAAACTTATGGTATAAGACACGCCCAAATTTTGATGCACACTTCCTCAACAGCCTGAGAAAGAGAGATCAAAAATAGACTTTTGGCACTTGCCTTAAGCAATCTGGGCTCTGGGGAGTTGGAAGTACAGGGTAGACAGAGAGAATTCCCAAAGCAAAGACTCCTCACTGAGAGTGCCCTGCTAGCACCTTCCCATCCTTCATATGTAGATGCCTGTGCCGATCACAACAGCAGCAAGGTGTCGTGAAGAGAGAGCAAATCTCAGATAACCTGCTTCCACGAACTCTTCCACTTGCACCCACTTGCTGCCAAGCTCCACCATCCACCTATCCCCACCAATATATGGTTATGTTAAAAGTTCCCATACACTTCATGATAAAATGGTTTGTTACAGGGAACTAACAAACAACATTAAGTGAAGTTAATTTCTTTGGATATAAATGTATTCTCCCCAAGCCGTAATGTAGATGTATATGTAACCAATGATGTTATTTAACCTAGAGCTGCCTTCAATGTTTGAGAAACAACTCCTGAGTCAACATTCTCAAATTCTGTGGGTCTAATCACACATTTCTGCATGAACACACGTACTTACTCTTCCAGTCAGAGCCTTCCTTACCTATATGCAAGATATGCGGTTACGTAGTGTACCCAAAAATTTGGGATAGCACTGGGTCTTTTTGTCCACCCACCTGACTCTTCCTGTTTCTGTTCTGTGGCTTTGCTTCCGCCTGAGAGAATCTAGTTAACTTAAAAGTGAAAAAGCCTCCCAGAGCTATTAGCAAAGTCTTGAACCTGTGCAAGAGCCATTCAGTGCTAACGAATCCATTTAATAGGCATTTGCCAACCTGAGATATTTCCCATCAGTTTTTGAATTAGTCTAAAGAGCTTACTTTACATTATGTTTTAAAAATATTTCCTTAGTGTGTTGCTGAAAATTATAAAATCACATCACTAAAAATCCTCATCATCCCTCTGGCTGCCATCGGGCATAGGGACACCAGTTTAATAATACTGTGTAGGGCCCTGTAAATCCTAAAATCAGCCCTGCTGCCAGTTAGCTGACGGTTGGAAAAGAGATGCAAGAACATTCACCAGGCGCATCCTCTTATCAATAAACATTTACATTTTCAAAAAAACGGATTCTTATGCAAAGTGTCTGCAGTTCAGCTGAAGGTTTTATTAGCTGTTTATTGTGCATGGATTTCTTGGAAAGCCAGAGGCATTTTGCTTGTAGATCATAGATATTTCAAATTTCCCCAAATGTGCCTTGGTGGCCGGATGGGAGAGGTGGAGAAAGAACAGCCCTTCTTTTTCAAGGATTTTGGAATCACAAGGACAGAAGACATGAGCAATGGTTTCACCTTTTCCTCCAACTTTTCAGGGTAATGAATTCCTTTTTCCTCCTCGTAATTTCTCCTCAAGAATTCCCTCCTGCAGGGGTGGGGAACCTTTTTTGGGTCGGGGCCACTGACCCACAGAAAAATCTGTTGGGGGCCGCACACAAGAGAGAAGCAACCAACAAAAATCCTCACCAATGTGGCCCCCAACTTAGAAGGAGAAAGACACTCCCCAAAGTCTCCTCACAGATCAGAGCCTGGAGGCAGGGGTGGGGGGCCAGCCTAATAGATTTGTGTGCTCCAGCCCCAGGGTGGGGCAGCAAGGGGGGTGGAGTGCCAGTGCGGGCTCCCAATGCTAGGGGGACCTTGAGCCTTGGGGACTGGTTCCAGGCTAGCCGGGGGCTGCATCTGGCCCCTGAGCCTGAGGTTCCCCTTCCCTGCTCTAGTTAATCAGAATGGAGCATCTCCCTCTAAAATCACTGGCATCACCTAATAGGAACCAGTTAAGTAATCTTTATGCAAATCATAAGTCCTCCCAGTTTTAGCAGATGTCACAACAAGTCTGGAAAAATCCTCCAAACTCAACATTCTGTAACTATTGACATCACCTCTTAGACATGAAGTCCACCAGCACAGGAGGACAGCAACAGCCTTGCTAAAACTGACTCAAAATCTTATGCAATAGCTCAAAAATACAAAGCTATCATAAAATAAATTAGAACTGAAATCACTCCAAACATGCAGCCTACATACACTCAACTAACAGAAAAACATCTTCATTTTAAGACTGTGCAACTGATTCTTTAGAACCAAGTATTTAAAATAATTTATATTTTTGTTGTTCAGTAGCTGTTCACAATTGTAGCTTTAAACAGCATTTCCCCACAAAAATCAGTAAGAAATTAGACTTTAACTCATCCAAAATAGTCTCTTCCTCTTAAAAATTCATAATTTAGGTTCAGTTTCTATATTGGGCCTCTTGCGCTTCCACACAAAATATGCAATAAACTGATGGATGCTCATTGGCTTGTTTGTTGCAGCTACTGTACTGTAACATCAACTTTACTTAGCTAAGTTTTTGTTCCAGCTAGGTTTCGGCTCAGCCTTTTAGCTTGCTACTTATATTTGCTATTATTCACACTGTGAATTAACTATAAATCTCTGACGCTGTCAAAGAGCAAACCTGATGCAAACTAGAACCCATGAAAAAAACAACTTAGTTTTATGTTAAAATGTTAATTGCATTGCTTTAAAAAATTCTCCAAGCAAAAGCTAAAGGAAACGAAACTCCATTCTCCTAGCCAGAAGGTAGTGGTGGTGGTTCATTATTATTTTGCAGTGGCATCCAAAATGTGCAACACATTTTCCAAACACAGAAGAAGACACAATCTCTGCCCCAAAGAGTATACAATCTGTTTCAAGCTGTCCTGAATGAGCTTGCCAAGCACCATTAGCATCTGGAGGCCAGGATGATAGTGCTCAAGTTGGAATAAGGACTTCAGAAATATCCAAGATGATTCTGCATAAGTGACCAGATTCCCAAGCAACAAATGTATGTACTGATTGTGAATATATTTTATATTCCTTTGGAAGCAAGGGATGACATGTTAAAAACCATTCTCTGATCATTACTTAACTGTGTATTTTACTGAATGAAATGAGGGTAGATTATGTAATTAATTGAAAAACCTTTCAGAATAGTTTCATAGTTTTGAAAAAGTAAATCATCTTAACTTGTCTGTGTTCAGGTATGTATCAAGCAAAAGAAATTATCAAGCAATCACAAAACTTGAAACTGGTTCATAAGTTTCCCATGAGCTCAGCAGCCATTAATAAGCCATAAAAAAAAATCAGCATAGTATATGAATTATGTTGTTACCCCATAACCTATGTACAGGTTACACCCGAAATAATGATTTTAATGAACTTGCACAAATTTGGTGGGGAGGGAAGGCTATTGTTTCTTCTGCGCATCAAGGCCTTCCAAAGCGTAGGACTTCAAAACCAAAAGCTCAAACATGTCTTGTTACCAAGCGCAGATTATAGATGAACCAGAACAGTCTATCTGCTTGCTAGAACTGGGCAGAGAGGAATCAAAGGAGAACTACATGTACATCAAATCTTTAGAAGAAGCTAATAGCATTAATCCGAATAGCATTAATCATTTATGTGCTTCACCACATGCTTATGCTGATTTATTAGCTCATTCTAAAAAACATGTTTATTAAGAATTGTTATAGAGAAAGTCTCCATGACTAAGATAATGACTGCACTCTTTCAATTTCAAATTATCCCAAACCCATTAACGAGCAGGGTCATGTCAAGGAGAGCTGAAAGAAACTACATTGAGATTTATTGAGCCGACTTTTTCTGAAAACAGTTTTTCATTCTGCATGATAGCTTTCCTTAACAGGAGCCTACTGTACGTTGAATTTGTTTTAAGTAGGTGCCGCACTACAATCTGATAAACAAGGCAACCCCAATTTTTAACGATATCTAAAGATATCATAGTATGGGAAGGAATGTTGGATAAAGCAGCATATTCATGGAGGCTTAAAGCGACTGGGTCTTTTCAGTTTAGAAAAGAA